TCCACCTGTTTCAAAGGTGTTTCAAACACTTTTATCCATTCAGCAAGTACTGAGCACTCTGTACTGCGGACAAGGCATTGAGCAGGCCGCCCATAATCCCCACCTCACAGAGAGGGATGCACAACTGGACAGCAGTGGGTCCTCAGGACACCTGTGCAGAGAAAAGGGCACACCACCAAGACCCACCAGTGACCCTCACGGTATCTAGTGCCACCTAACAGGTGCTCAATGAACATTTGAAGTTTCTCTGTAACCTCCCACCTCAGAAACATCCAAATCGCTTGCCAAGAACAACAAAAGACTATTTAAAAATACAACCTAAACTCATAAACTAATAATCTGAAGAAAATCATCACCTAAAAAAAACTTAGCAATTTTCTTATGAAACTGAAAAATGAATAAGGCATGCCACTGTCAGGAGCCTCAGCCAATCCAGGGAGCTTTGAAGGTTTCAAGACCAGCTCTGGAGCTGAAAAGGGGTTCTGAGCACAGAATTAATTTTAGCCAAATGTCACTATAACAAAACAATAGGCCACCTATTGGAGTTGATTATGAAGAGGTTTTGCCCATAACACCAATTAAGCAAACCAGAGTCTAAACTATTCTTGTCTACATAATGAAACAGCTGGCAGTGGATCCAGTACAGGTAGCCCTTAAGTGGGGACTAAAACTCAAGCCTCACAGGCCATAATGTCCTCACACTGATTTCTTACTCCATAACATTGTTTCCAAACAGTAGTGTAAATTACTCCAGGCTGAGTGTAGGGAAGAGAGTGAGGGAGGAGGAGACATGGCACTTCCTGGCCAGCAGTGTGACTCTGGGCAGGCCAGAGTCACTCTCTCCAGCCCAGAAGGTTGAACTTGGCAACCCTGTGCCAGTGCCCTAAGATTCAGGGCAGCTCAGCCACCTGGGCAAAGGGACAACTTGGTTTCCACTGAGCTACACAGCAACATTATTGCAAATAGTTGAATGTCTTCTAGTACTTTCCCTGGGTTTTTTTTTTTTAACATTGTCCTTGAGATAGAACAAAAGTTATTACTCCCTACGCTGCCCACTTTGGGTCTCCTGAGGGCATGTGTGAAATGCACAGTGGACGGGGACACCGTCTCTATTCTGCAGAACGAACAGAACTTAAGTCACCCCTTTAAACTCTTTTACCAATTTATTACAACTTCCACCCAAATGTCACCACCACAAAATCTTGCAGCTAAGCAGGTTCTGCTCCTTCTTGCAGACACTTTTATTTTTTTTTCTGGGTTTCTTTTTTCTTCTCTTTCTTTCTTTTTTTTTTATTTCGGCATATTATGAGGGTACAGATTTTAAGGTTTCAATAAATGCCCTTTCCCTCCTCCCCCCGCAGAGACTTTTAAGTAAACAATTTTCAACAAGTCCAATAAATTATTTCTAAAAATTAATTAAAACACTGTCAATGAAACGAGAGAGTTACCCAAAAAAGGGCGGAGGCTCTAAAAATAAAAACACAAGACAGCCCACAGCTCTTGGCTGTGGCACCAGAGGCAAATAAAACTGGAGGAAATGCTTCTGCACAGCCATATGCCACAAGGCCTGGCCCAGGGTGAGCCCTCCAGAGCCTACCTGCTCCTACAAATGGCAGAGACACCCAGAACCTGGAAAGGCAAACGCAAAAGAAGAAGGCAGCCTCAATGCACCTATCCCTAGAGTTTCAGCACACTTTCAATTTTCACACAAATGGAAAACCATTTGGCTTTATTCAGCAACCTACAGAACTGCAAAACAGTAAAATACTTAAGCCACTTACACAAACATACACCCCCAAAACTGATTTATGATTAAGGTATCCAGACTGAAAGAACCATTTCTAATTAACTGAAAATTAAGTTGGAGAGGTGGCCAGGCTCAATGGCTCACACCTGTAATTCTAGCACTTTGGGAGGCCAAGTGGGGAGGACCACTTGAGGTCAGGAGTTCAAGACCAGCCTGAGCAACACATCGAGACTTCGTCTCAATCAGTCAATCAATCAGTCAATAAATAAATAAATAAGCCAGAAGTGGTCGCCTATAGTCCCAGCTACTCAGCAGGAGGATCCCTAGAGCCCAGGAGTTTGAGGCAGCAGTGAGCTATGACCACGCCATCCAGTATGTGTGACAAAGGAAGACTATCTCTAAAAAATTAAAATTAAAAAAAAAATAAAAAAAAAGCTGGAGAAGTGCATGGAGATATCCAAAAGAGGAAACAAAGAATATACTCCTGGATTAGGAAAAGAGTCTGCCAAAACCCCCTCCCCTACCCAGTCACCCAAAAGACACAACTACAGGGTGGCTCACGCCTGTAATCCTAGCACTCTGGGAGGCCTAGGCGGGTGGATTGCTCAAGGTCGGGAGTTTGAAACCAGCCTGAGCGAGACCCCGTCTCTACTAAAAATAGAAAAAAATTAATTGACCAACTAAAAATATATATAGAAAAAATTAGCCGAGCATGGTGGCACATGCCTGTAGTCCCAGCTACTCGGGAGGCTGAGGCAGTAGGATCGCTTGAGCCCAGGAAATCGAGGTTGCTGTGAGCTAGGCTGACGCCACGGCACTCTAGCCTGGACAACAGAGTGAGACTCTGTCTCCAAAAAAAAAGACACAACTCACACTGGGTAGCAGCAAATCTCACACTGGGCTGACCCTCATGACAACAACATAAATCAGGTCAGCTGGCCTCAGCTGGCCAGATGTGGTGGCTCACGGCCTGTAATCCTAGCACTCTGGGAGGCCGAGGCGGGAGGATCGCTCAAGGTCAGGAGTTTGAAACCAGCCTGAGCAAGAGTGAGACCCCGTCTCTTCTAAAAGTAGAAGGAAATTAATTGGCCAACTAAAAATATACAGAAAAAATTAGCCGAGCATGGTGGCGCATACCTGTAGTCCCAGCTACTCGGGAGGCTGAGGATCGCTTGAGCCCAGGAGTTTGAGGTTGCTGTGAGCTAGGCTGATGCCACGGCATTCACTCTAGCCTGGGCAACAGAGTGAGACTCTGTCTCAAAAATTAAATAAAATAAATCACGTCAGCTGAGCTGAAGCAAATATTTTTGGTCATGTGGATTTGTCAATTTAAAGAAAGATCCTTATTTTTTTAAAATTACACCTGCTCCCCTTCTGAAGCAAGGTATAGAATGGAAAAGTCTTCTCATCTGGCAAAAATGAATGAAAACCAGACCTCCTAAAATCAACGTTTGATGTGCACACTGCTGGCCGAGGCACTGTCACCAATAAATAGCAAGGTGCACTCCAGTCTCAGATCCTAAGGAAGTACCTGATCTCAGTTCCTGCTCATGTTTCTAGTCTTTAAATAACCACCTTTTAGTAATTCCAAAACTTTAAAGCCCATTTTGGTATCAGATTTTGAATTCATTATCTGATGAGTCAACAAGTACTAAAGAGTAATCTGGTACTGGAAATAAAACCGGACTAACCCAGTACTGACACTGAGACACACATTATTTCTAGATAGCTGACAGATCCCACACTGAGTGCCAAAGCCAAATGCAACAAAATACAAATGGATTCACCTTGCTAAAAAAATTGGAAAGCATGTAACTACAGAATTAGAGTCTAACATCCACTACTAGAGCCCTCTTTTACATACAGAAAGTATGTAAAACCTAAAACCACACCCAGGAGCGAAACCATGCAGAGAATGCGCCAGGTTCCAGGGCAAAGGCCGGCGGAGGGCAGCCAGCGCCCTGTGCAGCTGCAGTGGAAAGGCTAACCTCACACAGCAGTGGAGAAGAGCGCAGGGGAGTCGGCACAAAGCTGGGAGAACCCAAAGGGGCACCATGGAATAATGAAAGCAAGTCTCAGAAAGGACATCACTAGGAAAGGTGCAAAAAAATAAATAAATAAATAACGAAATAACATGGTTTAGTGATGCAAACACAAGTGGTGAAACACAAAGAAAAGCGAAACAATGGCCAATACAAGAGTGAGGTGCTGGGGCAGGGGGACTGCAGCCTGCAAAGGTTAATGGGGACCCACTGCCAGATCCCAATTCTTGGGTCCAGTGTTATTCTGCACCCTTGACTCAAAAATTATACATATATTGTTTTTATCAATTCCATTTTTAAAAAATCATGCAAATCATGTAGCAGTGAGTGTTTCCCCATCACTACTATGCCAAAGCTAAACAAAGCTCAACTGAGCCAGTAAGCAAGGTTAAAAAAAAAAAAAAGGAATTATTCCCTAACTACTTACACCCTGCAAAAACCGGTTTAAAGTAAAGCAACGCGTTTAATCCCTAAAACTTACAAAACGTGTTTGTCCTTATGACTAACTGGGTCTAGCTGGGACACAGGCCGCTGTCTACGGGGAAACGCCTGCTCAGCAAGTTCTCGAAACCGGTCAACTGAACTCTTCCGAAAGGTTCTCTCTTCTTCAGCCTCACTCTAGAAAGGGTCCTATTTTCGCCAGAATAAAGGCAACTGTTTAAGGATTCATCAAATTAAAAGAGGATGACAAGTTATTAACCCTTCACTTTGCACATGAAACAAAGCACCTGAAATTATTTAATGAGTCAACCGATTACCAGAACCACTAGGTCCGTAAAGTTCCCAGAGCACAAACCAGGACCGTCTTAACCCTGTACGCACGTTAGGGCCTCGCCGACCGCACGCAACGACGAGGCGACCCCGGTCTCCAACGCGCGGACTCACCCGAGGGGCTCCCTGCGCCTGGGTGCAGCCGGTGTAATGAGCGATTTCTGGTTGGGGAATTCAACAGCCCGAGGGCTGTGTCAAAATCCGCAACCTACGAGCGGCTCGGGGTCGCGGGTGCCACCCCGGACCGCCGCCCGCGCCGGCCCAGCCGCCCCCAGCCGCGCCGGCCTCCCCGCACCTTCCCACCTGCCGAGCCGCGGCGCGGGCTCCCGGCAGGGCCCGCCGGGGTCGCTCCGCCCGCACCGCCGCACCGCCCGCACGGGCTCTCCGCCGCACCGCCCGCCCGCCGCAGCCCGCCCGGCGCACAGGCCCGCGCGGCCCACCTCGGCCGTAGGCCTTGGCGCAGAGCCACTGCAGGTTGGCGGCGATCTTGGCGCGCGCCGCGTCGTAGCGGTCCAGCGGCACGAGGTCGGCGGCGCCGTCCGGCGGGGCCTCCATCTTCCCGCGGCCTCGCGGCCCGGCGCCCGCGTCACCGTCCGCAGACAAAGGGCCGCGGCGCGGCCTCCACAAAGGCGCCGCCGCCCCTCACGCCGGGCCCGGTGCGCCCCGAGGCCGCGGCCCGCAGCCGGCGCGCCGGCGGGGGCCGCGCGGACCCGCCTCACCTCACAGCCGCCGCCGCCGCCGCCGCGACTGCCGCTGCATGCTGCGGCCGAGCGGGGCCGAGAGGCGCCGAGCCGCGACCCAGCGAGGCGGCGGCGGCGGGGGCGGGCCGGGCGGCGGCGAGCGCTGCGCGGCCGGGAGGCGGCGGCTGAGGCGCGGCCAACGGGCGGGAGCGCGCGCAGCGCGCGACCTCGCGCAGGCGCAGTGGGCGCTGCCGGCTGGCCCGCGCCCGCCCCACCCTTCCGCAGGCGCAGTGGCCGCCTGCGCTCCGCCCGCCCGCGTGCCCGCCCCGCCCCTTTCGGCAGGCGTGCTTAGCGTCCCGCGCCGCCCCACGCTCTTCGGAGGCTCTGAGGCGCGACCCGCAGGCGCGGGGTGGAGGGGCCTCGGGCCGCTGGGCGGGTGGCGGGGGGTGGACACAGTGGAGGTGCTTAGGGGCGGGGCCGGACGAGGGGACGGGGCCGGGCGCCAGCGCCTCGCGCAGGCCTCGGCCGTGATGGGGGCGTGCGGGCGCGGTGGCACATGGAGGAGTGTAGGGGGGGGGCCGGCAGGGCGGGGCGGGGAGGTGGGACGGGTCCGGTGCATGCGGCGCGGGTGGGCGGGGTGCGCACACAGTTCGGAGTGCTTAGGCGCGGGGCCGGCGCAGGGGCGGGGCCGGCGAGGGTGGAGGGGCTCGGGCCGTGGTGAGGCGTGTGCGGGGGGTGGACACAGTTGGAGGTGCTTAGGGGCGGGGCCGGGCCGGAGGGGCGGGGCCTGGCCGAGGGTGGGAGGGGCCTCGGGCCGTGGGTGGGCGGGGTGCGGGGGTGGACACAGTTGGAGGTGCTTAGGGCGGGGCCGGGCCGGAGGGGCGGGGCCTGGCCGAGGGTGGGAGGGGCCTCGGGCCGTGGGTGGGCGGGGTGCGGGGGGGTGGACACAGTTGGAGGTGCTTAGGGCGGGGGCCGGGCCGGAGGGCGGGGCCTGGCCGAGGGTGGGAGGGCCTCGGCCGTGGGTGGGCGGGGTGCGGGGGGTGGACACAGTTGGAGGGTGCTTAGGGGCGGGGCCGGGCCGGAGGGGGGGCCGGGCCGAGGGTGGGCGGCCGAGGGGCGGGCCGGGCGCCGTGGGACGCGGGTGCGCGGCCTCGCTAGCGCACCGCGGCCCGGCGGGCGGCGGCGGCGCGCGCTCTGCAGGCCGCGGTCCGGGGCCAGGCGAGGCGGCCACCGGGCACCGGGGCAGCAGCAGGTGCGGCCCGGGCGCGGATCGCGCTGTCCCGATGTCGCGTCAGGGCCCCGAGTTCGCCCAGGGACACTCACCCCCGAGGCGCCGCGACCTCTCCGCCCGGCAGGGAGCCTGGGGGCGGACACGCTCCCCGCGGGGCGGACTCGGGCTCCGGGGCAGGGCGGGGCCGGGGAAGGGGCGGCGCGACCCCGGGTGGCGCGGCCGCGGGCCTTGCAGCAGATGGAGCAGGGGTGCGGCTGGCCCTTCGAAGGGACCGTTCCGGTGGCGCCCGCCTGTCATCCCAGCACTCGGGAGGCTGAGGCAGGAGGATCGCTTGAGCCCAGGAGCTTGAGGTTGCTGTGAGCGAGGCTGACGCCACGGCACTCACTCTAGCCTGGACAACAAAGCGAGACTCTGTCTCAAAAAATAAAATTAAATTTAAGAAAATTAAAAAATATATTTCTTACTCTCCAGCCAGGCGCCTCCGGATCCCTGCGGCCCCATCCCAGCCGCAGCCCTCACCTGACCGTCAGCCAGGTGGTTTCCACACAGGCTCCCCAGGAGCCTCCTCCACCCTTGTCCCATCTGGTGCTGCCAGGACACCCTCCTGAGCCACCTCGCGCCCCCAGGACCCGAGCGCTGTGGGTGGCGCACAGCCTCCATGGCCAAACACTGGGCCCTGGGCACGGCCCTCAGGCGTCCAGAGCCCCCCGGCCAGGCGTGAGGGGGTAAGGGCAGCTGGGGGGCAAGTTTCTGTCTCCTCCGGCCTCCATCAAAGACCCCCAAACGACAACACCCGCTAACTGGAAAGGGGGCAGACCCAGCAAGCGCACTCCCTGGTATTTGCTCAAAGGGGTGGAAAAGCCCACGGCCACACGAACGCTGCGCGGATGTTCCCAGCAGCTGTCCTCACAAGATGCCCTGCCGTGGGCGCGTGTCCCTCCCCACGCCAGGGTGTGCTTTGGCGCTGAGAGGCGCTCTCAAGTCATAGAGCCGGAGAACCTTAGGTGCACACTGTGACGGGAAAGACGCCAGTGGGAAGAGGCCACACGCTGTGAGCTCCAACTGCAGGACACGCTGGGGAGGACAAAACTGTGGGACGGTGAAAACTCAGTGGTTTGCGCAGGTCGGCGGGGGATGGGCAGGGGGGCACAGAGGACGCGTGGGCGGTGAGGCTGCTCCACGTGACACCACAGTGGCACATACGTGTCACTCACGTTGGCCCAAACCCTCGAGGAGACCGTGGACCGACTTGGGGTGACGATGACACAGGGTCATTAGCGCGGGTTCATCGATGGTAACAAGTGCACCACACCAATTCGGTGTCCGCCCAGGAACGGGGCGTGGGGGGCAGACACGGATGGGAACTCTCTGTACTTTCTGCTCAACTTCCTATAAACCTAAAACTGCTCTAAAAACTAAAATCTATTAATGTCCCTAAAGCGCACTGGGGAGTTTGGCTGAGCCCCAGCTGTTGCCCCAGACGGGCACCATCCTGCCCGCCGTCCTGCCTCCCTTCCGTGGGCCCACGAACACTGATCCTGCCTGGACACTCTTCACCTGCTCTTCCCTCCTGGGCCGAGTCGAGGGTGGGGGTGGCAGCTAAGTCACAGCTTCACCGGGCCCCCTGGGGCCACTGTCCACCCTGTCCCCGGCTGTGATGCCCTCTGAGCAGGCCTACCCAGCCACAGGGTATGCTGGTTTTAACTGGAACATTCTGCCGGGGAGAGGGGGCAGTGCAGGGCCCGGTGAGCCGTGGTGAGCACCCCGAGCTGGAACAGTCCGCGGCTGCCAAGAGCTGAGCTATTCTGGGACTTCAGAGGTGCCCCTGCCGCCGCCGAGTTCCTGTCTGGCTAAACGTCACTCTATTAACTTTAAGCACGGGGTCCCCACTGCTCTGGGAGCCTCCGATGCCTCCCCTGGACCCCGGGGCCACCCTGGATCCTGGCAGGTAGCAAAGGCTACTGCATCGGTTAGTGGGCTGCACCCAGGCCCCAGGACCCCTCCTACTTTGCAAACGTGGAAACTGAGGCTCAGAGACTCGGGGATGATCTGGAAGCCACACCGAGAGCCAGTGCTGAGGGCTGGGCTGCCTCCCTCGGGGGCTTGGCCCTGCCCCTGCTGCCCCAGATGGCCCGGTGCTCCCAGCAGAAGAGGAGGAGCTGGGTATAGGCTCAGCCGTGGGACTCAGGGACCCTCCCATTGCACAGCTAGGCCCCCGCTAGGGAGAAAGCCCATTGGCAGGTCACTGACAAGTGTTGCTCTCCAGGTGTGCGGGGGTCAGAACATCTGCAATCAGACCTGGCCACGCCCAGCGCCACTAGGCAACCCCACACTCTGTCCAGGGCGCTCCTACAGGTGCAGGTGGAGCACAGTGGCCCACGCCTGCAGCAGGGCCCCCCGAGGAGGAAACACTCCTTTAATTTAAACCTAATTAAGTGAATTAATTTAAAGTCGGTTTGTCCCTTGCGAGAGAAATTAAACATGAAGGAATGAGATTTTGCCAGGGTTGAGCTCTGAATGGCCATATGCCATCGCAAGAGCTGAGGCACTGGTGGCCCCCAACTCAGTAAGCACGTGATCCTCCAAGACGGCGACCACGCCCAGTCCTCCCTGGGAGAAGCATGCGCTCCACGTCCCCGGGACACCCTGGGTTGGCCCGTCCACCACCGGCAGTGCCCCCTCCCGCACTCTGCTCCTTGCTCTCCCGCACGGCTGCTGGTCAGCCCTCCCTTGTCCGGCCTTCAGGCTCAGGGGACAGGCAAGGCCAGGACATGGCGCAGCCTCTGTGCAGAGGGCTGTGGTGTTCACGGTGGAGGTTCTGAGAGCCCGAGGCCCCACAGGCTCCTGCCCTAGCGCTGGGCCCACTGCCCGGCCGCCAGGCCAGCCCCGTCCTCAGGCGGCACAGAACTTCCTCTGCACAGCCACTGGCTGGCCCACCCTCTGCAAAACGGAGTGAGTAGACGCTGTTCCCTTATGGCCCAGGAACCTGGGCCCAGGACGGCTGTGGCGTCACCCTTGCCAGCCCTGGGTCTGGCGTCTATGGCGGGCAGCGGAGGGGCAGGTGAGGTGCCTGGTGTGGATGGCAGCACACAGATCGAATCCCCACCACCCATGTCCAACCGTGGGGTCTGCCGACCGGTAGTCACAGGCCAGCACCTCTTGGGCCTTGGCCTCTGGCCACACCACTCTCCTGGACGGCCTGAACCTCAAGCATCCCATGTTTTTAAATTTTTTTTATTTTAACTTTTTTTGTAGAGACGAGGTCTTGCTATGTTGCTCAGGCTGGTCTCAAACTCCTGGCCTCAAGCAGTCCTCCTGCCTTGGCCTCCCACATGTGGGATCCCAGGTGTGAGCCACCGCACCCCCAAAGGCAAATGACTCAGTAGAACTGCTCACTACGTCTTCTTGGGCATCTTCCAAATGTTGGGGGCAAGATGATCTTGAGAAGGACAAATTCTCCGGAACATGATGCAGAGGTCAGCTTCGGATGGCCAGAGGGACAGGCGCCCCACGGGCCAGGGCAGACCCTGCAGCGCCTTGCTGGGCCCACACTGGGCTGAAACAGCCCTGGGTTCCCGCAGGTGCAGGGGGGCGGCCCGGGGCATGGTGGCCGAGGGGACTCAGCAGCAGGGGCGGATCCGGGTCTGAGCAGGGCACCAGCTGGCAGCTCCTGGATTCCTGGTCCAGGCAAAGGAAGGAAA